ATATATTATATATATATATATATATATATATATATATATATATATAAAATATAAAAAATTTTAAATATCCGAAACCTGGATTTAAAAAAAAATGAAAATGAAAATGAAAAAATTTTTATTGCATAATTATTTAATGCGAAACAACCTTTTTTTATCCCTCCCCTCCCTCCTCCTCCTCCTCCTCCTTCTCCTCCCCGTTTTCCCTCACCTTTTCTTACATTTCATCACCGACTCATCCCCTTTTTTCCCCCCCTCATTCTCCTTTCTTTCCATTATCATCTTCCTTTCCTCCGAACAAAAAAAATAAAAAAATTTATTTTTCTCTTAATTTCCTACTAAATTAATTCGAAAATTAAAATACGACCCTTAAAAAATATGTATACAAGTATATTTCATCCCTTATTATTATTATCATTATCATTATTATTATTATTAATAAATTTTTTGAATTTCAGAGTGCTCGAGTCACGGGAGGAAAATCAGTAAGACGAAGAACTCACAATTTGGTGGACGGAACCGTTAGCACGGGATCAAGCGAAACGAGAATCGATTTGACAAACAATCAAAATTCAACTCCAGATGCATCTCCAGGAATTAGAAGAAAAGGTTCGACGAGGAAAAGTTTCAAACAAACACCGAGAAAATCCGCGGCATTTTTAGATGTTCCTACTCTCATGGGTGGCGAACAAATGGAAGGTGAAGATGAAGATTCCTACAGGCTCAGATCGTTTAGTTTCACGTCAAAAGGTAATTTTAAAAAATAAAAATTTTCTTTTCTTTAACCGGAAAAGGAGTAAACGGGAGGGAAAGGGGGGAAAGAAAAGATGCTTTGAAAGAAAATTCATTTAATTTAATTTACGCCATATTTCATTTTAATAAGGACGCAAAATATTATTAAATTTGACAAAAAAAAAAAAATTTAATTAAATGAAAACCGGAAGTCAAAAAAAAAAAAAAACAAATTATTTCAATTAAACTATTTATTTAAATTATTTTCCGACGGGGGGAGGGGGAGGGGAGGGGATAGGAATGAAATGAATTTTGCTATGAATTATTACTACAATTCGTCATTTGCTACCGGAAAAAAACAAAAAATTTTCACATTTTTTTTATTGCCCCTCAAGATTTTCTTTCGTTTTACGCCAAAACATAAAAAATCGTTTTTGTTTCCGTTTTTCCGTTTTCAAAATGTTTTCCAAAAAGGAAACCTGATACGTCAAACAACAATTTTTTTTTAAATCGAAACAAAAGAAAATAAGTCAAACTGGAGAAATTTTTTTTTTTTTTTATTTTTAATTTCATCCATTTTGATTTCTTTTTTTTTATTATGGTTTCTCTCTCTCTCTCTCTCTCTCTCTCTCTCACTTTTCTTTTAATGTCCAAAATGTCGTCGTCGTAGTCGTTGTCGAAAAGGAAAAAAAGAAAATTTTTTTTGTTCTCATTTTCTTTCTTCTTTGTCTTTGAAAGCGTTAAACAAAGCTTTGGAATGACGATGAAAAATAAATAAAAATCATTTTATTTTCAACTCTTTAAAAGACCCCTCTTAACGAATGTTAAACACGAGTCAAATTTGTTTTTTTAAAATTAAATTAAAATGAATACTTATATATAAATATTCCAGAGAAAAAAAAAATTTCTTTTTTTTTCGTTCAATTTCTGTTTCGTTCAATTGAATAAAAATAATAATAATAATAATAATAATAATAATAATAATAATAATAATAATAATAATCACGGGTAGTTTAATTGTTTGATTTAATTTAAAAAAATTTTCTTTTTATAGCGCTTTAATTTTATAGCAAAAAAAAAAGAAAAAATGAAACGTAATAATAATAAATTTTATATATATATAATTTATTTAATGAACGTCGTTGGAAAAAGGTAAATAAAAAAGGTTAAACCTGATTAATTTTCCACTTCTGAAATAGAAAAAGTTATTTATTTTATTTTTCCAGTTCCAGTTCCAGACTTTCATTAAAAAAAAAATTTTCCTTTCTTTCGTTTCTTTCGTTTATTTAGTTAAAAAAATTATTTTTCTAAAAATAAAAATCGAAAACTATTTAATTAAAATAAACGGAAGTTAGTGACAGTGTGTCGTCTGCAAAAAAAAACCGGAAATACGTAATTAATATAAAATGTAAATTGTATTTAATGAAGGGGAAAAAAATTTTAAAAAGATGAAATGTAATAATTGACACGGAAACGATATTTTATTTCTCTTTTTCTTTTTTTTTCGAAAGAAAATTCTAGAAAATGTTTCCGACTGGAAATTGAACTGGAAAAAAACCTTTTTTGCTGTTGTTGTTGTGGTAGATTTTATATTTTGTTCTTAGTCCCGTAATCGAATTATAAAAAATGAATCTTTAATTTAAAAAAAAATAAGAATTTTATTTTCCCTTTTTTTAATGTCAAAATGAAAAATTCAATTATAATAATTTTGTTGTCGCTGCTGCTGTTGGTACTTCTGTGCGTGTGATTGTGTGTTGAAAAAGTTTGACAACAAAAAAATTTCTATTTAAACTACGTGAAAATTGTAAAAAAAAAAAATTTTTAATTTTCCGTTTCTTTCATTTTATTACTCATTCGTGCCACGTTTTTTTTAAATAATAACCGTTAGAAATAATTATTTTAAAAAGTTACTAATGATCGTTATTAGTTATTTAAAATTTATTTTCATTTAAATAACTATTAATTATACGTTCGAAAATTGCGAAACTTTGTCAAAAAAATAAAAAAAGGAAAATTTAACTTTTAAATTACGACTCGAAAAAAAAAAAAAAAAACATTCGACGAAATCAATTGCCTGGAACCCCCGTAAAAAAAACAAAATACTATATTTTATTTATTTTTATTATTATTATTATTATTATTATTATTTTCACTTTTGAAAACGATAAACTTTTAAATACTTGTCGGAATTTTTTCAAGAGCCTTTATTTCGGGTCTCTACCCGACGATTCCTTAGGGATAAGTGGTCGAATATCAATGATGCTGCTGCTTTCGAAAAATGCCGGCAGTCTCACGTAACGGTTTTTCTCCTTTTAAATTCTTCAGAATCTTCTTCAAATTCCCTCCTATTGAATGTGGTATGGCTCCCAGTCCAGTTCCCACGATGACCGGAATCGTTTCTGTTTTCACTCCCTTATCCTGACTATTTCAATCTCTTTCTTTGGTGTTTTTTTCCGCCGGTACGGATACTTCGATTAATTTACACCACCTTTCCGCCTTATGTCGCATGGTGATATCCGGTTTGTTGGCTGGCACAGTTCTGTCGGTGTGGATTTGTTGATCATACCGACCCCCTGTCATAACCGGGCTTGAAATGTGGTTGTACCATTTCTTGGGTAATCCATCCATTCCATATTCTCGGCATATACTCCAATGGAGATATTGACAAATTTGATTGTGCTTTTCTAAGTATTCGTGTTTTGCTAGTATCGGACAACCGGAAATTAAATATTCGATTGTTTCCGACTGCGATTGACAAATTCGGGACATATCATCTTGACCTTTTCGTAATGCCTGATCTTGTGCGTCTGTTATAAACGCTTCTGTTTCGACCTTTAATTTTCCACGCCTTAACCAATTGCACGCAATTATTATCATTATTATAAACGTTTTGACTTTAATAGGGGAACAAACGAGCGATAAAAAAAAAAAAAAATTAAATTACAAAAATTTTTAAGGAATATAACGGAAAAAAAAAAAAAACTAAAATAAACGAGGGGAAATTTTAAAAAGTCGGAAAATTTATTTTAATTTAAATAGAGATTACGAACGTCGTCGTCGTCGTCGTCATTTTAATAATAATAATTATTATTATTTTTCCAAAAGCAGCAGCGACATTAAAAAAAAATAAATAAATAAATAACAATACATTTTATTTTAAATAATTTAAAATTTTCTTTTTCTAAAATGAAAATTAACGGATTGATGACTACAAACTACCACAACAACCATAAAAATAAAAAAAAATTTTTTTTTCTTTAATTATTTTATATAGTGACACGATGAAAAAGAAATCACGAGCATCATTTTATATAAAATAAGAAAATTTATATTATTTATTTTTCTACTTCCACGATTTTTATTTATTTATTTTTATTACGTTTTGATAAAGTTATAAAAATATATCATATAACGGTCTTAACTTTAATACGTGACTAATTTTTTCTTATTTTTCTGATGGGAGAACAAAAAAAAAAGAATTTTCTTTTGTTTTTCGTCGGAAAATGAAAAGAAAACGGAACAAACAAAAATAAAATAACCCAATTTCAAATTATTCCGAAATAAAAACAAAAAAAAAAATAAATAAATAAATAAAACATTCAGACATGAGAAAGAGAGAGAGAGAGAGAGAGAGAGGGGAGGGAGAGAATAATATAATCAAACAACAAACGACAGACAGATCAAAATCAAATAATGATGATGATGATGATGATGATGATGATGATAAGAAAATTAATGATTCATAATTAAAAAGAAGAAAAAAAAAAAAAGTAATCATCGTTTACATGACGTCACGCAGCCTCCCTTTTTTTTATTAAAAAAAAAAAAAATTTGGCATTAAACCTTTCACAGACAATAAAAGTCAATGACTAAATATTATTAATTATTATTAAACACGTAATTTTTATAATTAGAGGGTGAAATAATTGGATGAAAGCCGTCAAAAAAAAATAAAATAAATATAAATAAATATTCACCTGTTGGTTATGGTAGACTAAACTGAAACTAAATATATTTTAAAAAAAAAAAACAAATAAATCGTGAATAAAACGTTTGTTATATAATATCCGACAACCGTAAAACATTCGAATAACACTAAAACAAACATAAAAATTCGTAAATCGTATTTAAACTTGGAAAAAAAAGAAAAAAATTATTCAAAACGTTAAAGAAACGAATAAACATGATGAATGTTTCCGCCATTATTACAATGAAGACATCTATTACGTCACGAGTCTTACGTTTTGCCAACTTAAAAATTTTATAAAAAAAAAATTCCCCGATATTGACAACTGCATTGTTTTGTTTTGTTTTTAAAATTATAAATCGAACGAATAGAATAAACAAGTGTTTTGGTTTTTTTTTTTTTTTTTTTGCGTAATCGGTTTTTTATTTTTCGTCAGAACAAAACAAAAACTATTTTATGTTATTCATCCATCGTTAACAAATTTCTTAAAACAAAAACAAAAAAAAATTAATGAAAAATTAGTTTTTAGTCGAAAAAAAAAAATTTTGACGTCGTCATTGACGTTATCGATAAAAAAACTTTTTTTGTTTTGATTTAAACATTCTATGACATTTGCTTATTGGAAAAAGTTACGAAATATTACGAATAGAAACGTTTAAGTAATAATAATAATAATATTAAAATGTAGTGAATTTTTTTTTTATGTCGAAACAAACAAACAAACAAACAACAAACGACCTTTTTTTTCAATTTTTTCTCTCCTCGATATCGACAAAAAATTTATTTATTGTCTGTTTATTTATTGGCACAAAAAAATTTTTTTTGTTTTTAACCTTGAATATGTAAATGGCCCTTAAATTCCTTTGAAAAATTTCCATTTACAATTTAATTAAAATCGATTTGTTTTCGATTAAATCTCGTGTTACGAACTGTAAAAAAAAAAAAAAAAAAAAAAAAAAAAGTTTAACGAGGAACCATTGAAAATTTTTTTTTTTTTATTTTCTCACGTTTTTTCCCCCTCCCACCCCCACATCCCCCCTATTTTTAATTAATCGTCCATTTTCATTTATTTGTTAGCGTTTAATTTAAAAAATCGTTTGATTTTAACATAACCTTTCATTTCGTCACCTTCGTTAATAATAATAATAATAATATACGTATATAAACGAGAGGTAA